CCAATTAGGTAGTACGTGTCCTCACCATCTGTGAAAGAATAGAATAAAAGAAATTTAGTATCCGAAATCAACAATTTCGCACGACAGAATACAAAAAAAGTGAATTTTTTTTTCCTAAGGGTTTGGCAGTCTCTCGAAGATAAGTACAAATATCTCTGTACCGATCCTCAAGACTATTAAACACGCTCATGACTCGTGAGACCTATGTAACCTAGGCTTTGATACCAACTTGTCACGACCCAAAATCTCACTTGTCGTGATGGCACCTATATCAATACTAGGCAAGCCGACAACCCCAATAAAATACTATATCTTTTAAGTTTGAAAATATAATACTGAATTCAATAGAAAACCTCACCATTACAGATATAAAATACTCCCAAAACCCCGTGTTACTGAGTACATGAGCATCTAAATGAATACAAAGCCTTATAGATAAAAACACTGTCTGAAAGTATAGAACAGTACAATAACTGAAAGAAAGAGAGTCAAGGTCAGCGGATGCCAGGCAGCTACCTTGATAGTCTCCAATTGATAGCACTCTGGAAAACTAGCAGTCGACGTGTCCGAAATCACCTGAATCTGCACACAAGATGCAGAGTGTAGTATGAGTACAACCAACTCAATAAGAAACAAGACTAACCTTTGGGCTGAAAGTAGTGACGAGCTCAGCAGGTACAGTCCAGTATATAAATAACGGTACAGAAATGTAGGCATGCTTTCAAGTTCGACAGTACAACTCAGTACAAGTAAGATAGATCAATATTGCATGATATCATGGATATGACATCTCATTGGAGAACCTTGTGTACTCACGATCACAAATAATTCGGTCACTCGATACTGTTTATGGCCAATCCAGCCCAGGGATATTCCATCCCGCATATATATACATTGACTGACAGTCAGTCATTCAGTACCGTATAAGGCCAATCCAACCTTGGGGTAATTTATCCCCAAATGTAAATGATTCGGATAAGATCCATGTCCTGGGAAATTCATTATAAATATAAATAAGTAAGGCAAGTCCATGCCCTGGGAAGTCCATCCCATATATAAATCATCTACGCTCACTATGGGGGGTGCAGACTCCGGAGGGGCTCCTTCAGCCCAAGCGTGATATAAAGTCGATATGGCCTCCTATAGGCGGGCAGCCCCTATCCATATAATGATAAAGACTATAAGGCCTGCTGCAGGCGAGTAGCCCCGTTCCCGAGCCCATAAATACCCTCACAATGGATGAACATGACTGAGTATGAAATATATATTTTCTTTTAAAAACAATTAAATCCAACAGCAACAAGATCCTATGGGTCCCAAAATATCGGCACGTAGCCTAATCATGATCTTTAATACGAGTCTCAGCTCAATTTCCTAACACGTGAAAAATATGCGAATAATAACATGATTCTTTAATTTTACAACTTCACATGATTTATTCAAGTCACAATTTCTATGGTGCACGTCCAAACGCTCGTCACATATCATGTGCGTCACTTCTAAACAATTTATATAACACCAAATTTGGGGATTCATATCCTAAGAATCAAGTTTAGAAGTGTTACTTACCTCAAACTGTGTAATTTCTTACTCTGTTATGCCCTTACCTCGCAAATTGACATCTGAACGCCTCGAATCTAGTCTCAAATCATTCGATTCAGTCAATACAAATTATAGGAATTAAATCCATATGAAAATACTAATTTTCCAATAAAATTCAAAATTTCACCCAAAAATCGCCCGTGGGGGCCACGTCTCGGACCGCCCTTTCAATCACGAGTCCAACTATATAAATTTTACCAAATTCGGACATCATCTCGACCCTCAAACCTTTAAATTAAACCAAGAGGGTTTTCTAAATTTTCCAACTTAATTCACTCATTAAATGTTAAAAATAATCATGGATTTGGGTAATTTAACTAATATTGAGTTAAGAACACTTACCCCGTTGTTTTCATTGAAAATCTCCCAAAAATTACCTCTTTCCGAGCTCCAATTCGTCAAAAATGGAAAATGGAACTTAAAGTTTCTGTCCAGTCATTTGCTCTACGCGATCGCGGACTTGTCCACGCGATCGCGAAGCACAATTCTCCCACTGCCCACATTAACCTTACGCGATCGCGGACCTGTCCACGCGATCGCAAAACTCAACCTCACAGGCCTACGCGATCGCGGACTCGCCCACACGATCGCGAAGCACAAATGCGTGACCTCCACTTATTCTACGCGAACACGACCTTCTTCACGCGTTCGTGAATCACAAACTCCCACAGCTACGCGGTCGCAGCCCTCTTCACGCAATCGCAAAGAACCAAATCATCACTGCCTCAAACAAGCCTACGCGATCGCGGATAAGTTAATGCGATCGCGTATAAGGAAACTAGGTACATGCATCAGAAAAATTCTAGCAGCTATTTAAGTCTAAATTTCGATATGTTAACCATCCGAAACCCCACATGAGGCCCCCGGAACCTCAATCAAATATACCAACAAGTCCTAAAACATCATACGAACTTAGTTGAACCCTCAAATCACATCAAACAATGCTAAAATCACAAATCACACTCAATTCAAGCTTAACGAAAACTAACGAATTCCAACTTCTACATTCGATGCCGAAACCTATCAAATCAAGTCCGATTGACCTCAAATTTTGCACACAAGTCATAAATGACATAACAGAGCTATAAAAATTTTCAGAACTGGATTCCGATTCCGATATCAAAAAGTCAACTCCCCGGTCAAACTTCCAAACTTAAATTTCTATTTTAGCCATTTCAAGCCTAATTCAACTACGGACTTTCAAATAATTTTCCGGACACGCTCCTAAGTCCAAAATCATCATACAGAACTATTGGAATCATCAAAATTTTATTCCGCGGTCATTTACACATAGGTCGACATCCAACCAACATTTTCAACTTAAGTTTTAAACTTTGGAACTAAGTGCTCTCATTCATTCCAAGACCTCACCGGACCCGAACCAATTACCCCGGCAAGTCATATAATAACTGTAAAGTAAAAATTGAGCAGTAAATGGGGAAATAGGGTTGTAATACTCAAAACGACCGGTTGAGTCGTTACATTTGCTCAGACAAAGATATTAACTTACCTATTTTGATCTTGTTGATCCCTCAGTAGCAGCAACAACAGAAAATGCTCAACAACAGCCTACATTATCAGTTTAATAAGATTTTCTTCTGTAGCATATTCATTAAAGAAAATACTATTACTAGCATGACCAAATAACTTGACTTACCGCACTGCCCTTGGTCCTTAACTCCAGTAACGGCACCCTTCTTTCTCCAATCCATGGTAGCGGGAGCAGTCACATTTTCATACTTGAATGATATGGTTTTTGATGACTTTTGATGAGAAGACATTTTGTATCCATTGTGAGTCGCTTTAAATTCCTCATTTGTCAAATCTACAAATTCGTTGATGCCCAACTTATAAGGCCTAATTCCAGCCTTATTGACTGACTCAATGTATTCAAAATTGTCCTTGAATATTTTGAACCTCTTTGCTTTCTCTGCATCATCTCTGTACACACGTCCAAAGCGAGCCATCCAGTGATCGTGTTTCTGGACCATTGATGCTTCGTTCAAGTCACGAGATGTGGTTTGAGAAGCCCACATTCCTAACACTAGTAGAGCTACAAAAGCAAGCTCAGCTTCCAACTGGATATTAAAGCCATCTTTCACTAGCTGAATTTTTGTGTTGAATCTAATATGTCTCTATTTGAATGTTGTGGATGAAATGCTTAGAGTGACTATGGTATTTATAGTACTAACGCTGTGGTTATATTAAGGTAACTCAAATTTTTTATCATTTTTACTTGATGATTGAATTCTTCGGAAAGCCCGGCAAGTTACGTATGATAGACTGATTGTGATAATAAAGGTGGATCAGGCACGTTGTTTGATGTCCTCAAATGATATCTTACAATAAACCTTTCATTTGCAACTATCTCACAAGTTTTCGTTCCATAATTTTCGAACATAGTTTTGGAACTGTAGGCACTAAAGAAGCTCCTTTATTGGCAAAGTTTTCTGATTTTGGGATGGAGGACTTGATCACTATGTTGTCCTATTTGTAAGTAACAATCACTTCTGTTTTGACCTTAAATGTATTAGGAAAAGGAACCAAAAGAAGAAAGAAAGAAAAAAAGAGAGAAAAAGAGAAAGAGAAAGGCCATCACAGCAGTTTGCCCTTTACTCAACAGGAAAGAAAACATTTTCATGAATGGCATGTCATATTTGTTTTATGAGATTACGTTATTTTCTTTAGTAAACAAATCAAGAAATATGGGAACTAGTTTTGTTACAGAACTTTTTATCATTATTCTGGAGAATGAAAGATATGGAAAGAGCAATAATGCAAAAATTCAAATTGTTGAGGTGTTGATAGTCAGTGAAGCATAAACATGTAAATGTCGAACAATACAACCTAATAGTAGTACTTAGTATATCCCCAACTTTCACCACAAAGTCTTAGGAAGTAACGAACTCAAGATTTTGTTATATAAATTTAGCTTTTTCGTTTTCCACCAGACCATTATCAAAACCAAAGACCATGTTGCTTCTATATGCAGTTTTTACATGAACAAAATCAGAGGCATATTAGCCAGGAACTACGGACGGGATGATAAATGGAGGAAAGACAGTGAGACAGTTGATTGTGGAATCAAAGAAACAGGGCATCCACAACCTTGGTACCATATCCTATAGTCTATCTGGTTAGTTAGTCAAATTTCAAAATTATTTATCACCTAGAACTTGGTAACACCTCAGATAGTTACCCAACTTATATGAGCTCTCCAGAAGAGAATCAAGTAACTACTAATGCATGTTAGTAGTTTAATGGTTTTCAGTTCTGATGATTGCAAATTTAAGGATATCACTTGGTCTCATATGGAAATGCGCAAAATCGTACAAAAGGGAGAGCGGGGAAGAAGAAACCAGGAGCACTCGAACATAAAGACACACATCATACGCTACTCATAAAAAGTGAACATTTTCATTTAAAATAAGGCCCTTGATATGCACAAAATTTCATTATGTTCAACAACTATGCCCCAATCCTGAACTAGTTGTGGTTGGCACAAATTTCAATATGTACAAGTCCAAATTCATATAAAATTTGAAACATCACATGTGTTTCAGCTCAATTGTGAGCGATGCCTATTCCCATTAGAGCTGAATAAAATCAAAGAAATTCCTACGTCATATTCTACAGCTTCTGAAACTATGCAAGCCTTACCATCATCCTTCAGACTTCAGGAAGTTGAAATCAATGCAGAAGTGCTTGAATTGTTATCTACCAAGTGTCTCGGAAGAGCCTGTTTCTCTTCAATCCTGCCATATCAGCATTAAAATTATTCTGAAAATCAATAGATGGATGAATGAAACAACATTACCAGACTTCATATTAGGGAATTCATTCCTGCAGAGCTGAATCATACCCTTGCAAGTTACGCAAAAAATGGAGATTCTTCAAAACACTACTGTGCCACCAGCTTCTCAATTTCTGATAAATTAAGGTTTAACGAGCCACAATAGCATTCAGGCTCACGTGTCCGTCAACAAATTAGAAAGCGCTTGAATCAATGATTTAGGATCGAAAAGCACTCCCATTTTTGGATCATGGATGGAATCCACAGTGACCTACAAGAACTCAATTTGTCACCTAAATTGAAGAGGGTCACCAGCAAACCAATCACTTATGTGGTCTAACTACATTCCATGATGCCGACTGTTTGCAAATTTCAAATGAGAACTTAGTTTTTGAAATTACAAAGAGAAAGCCCATGAAGAAAAGAAACTGATGCAAGTGCATTATTGAGTAACTAAGAAGCATTTCTAATAACCATGAAACAGGAACATACCACATTGAAAATTCCCTGAGAAGCCAGGCGTTCTATATCCACATGTATTTGGCCATTTTTTGGCACCAGAAGGGTGTTGAGATATTTGTTTGGCTGAAAAGAAAAATTAAACCATAGAAAAATAGAATTTTGATTTTCATGACAAAGATTCAAAGTATTGTTTGTGCAAGTACATGATATCTAGTGCTATGTGTTGCCAATCAGCTAGTTGCCAAGTGAACTAAAAACAAAATATATTTACAGTGACGAGAACCAAATGAATTTGACTGAATTGTAACAGATGGAATATCCACTTTTTCATTGTTTGGCCATGAAATAATTTATACTCTCAAGGAAACTTTACAACGTAATATGTAATGCCAGGTATCTTGGGTCATTTTCCTCAAGTTAATTTCTCTCTTTCTATTCTTAACAATTTAGGAAAAACTTGTGCCCCAGATGTTCCACCCATTAATGCAAAACAACTGATGTTTTCAATTCTCATCTTAGGAATCATAATGGCATCGGGTACAATCAATTGGGATAAAGGGAGTACAAAGGACTCAAAAATTAACTTACAAGATGCAGCAGGAAAATAGAGTGGGAGATACCCAGGCGCGGAACTAGGGAGGGGCAGAACTGGGGGTGCCTCGGAAAATTACACTGTATATACCTAGGCAAATATTCTCAAATCTTAAGAATCATTAGCTCCATTATTTTGTTTGAAGATATATGCTCAAGTCAATTCCAAAGTGTGCGATGTCTCATAAGCAGGACCAGGAAAAAGGCAGCTAATGCCTAGTAGCATTAAATTACAGTCTGATACAAATGAAAAGTTCCACAAGTGTCAAGCTGGTGGCTAAGAAACTTTAGAAGATTTGAGAGGAACTTTCTCTAAGAATTTGAAACGGACAGCAAAATGAAGCCTACTTTCAATAAAAGTAAGTTTTTTTTTTCACTGGAAGCAGGTTGGTGAAAATTCCAAAAAGATTCTGAATTCAGCTCACAGCCTATGGAGAAGTGAACCTTACACTACATTAAATTTACTAGTAGTCTCTCGCTACTAGTTGCAACCTTAAAAAGAAGAATAACAGTATCAACGACCTGGAACAAGGTACACAAAGAATATTTCCCCTTAGTGGGTTCCAAGAAAGAATATCTTCTGAGTCATGGAAACAACTAAGGGGAAATATGGAGAGTCCCCACCACACTCTCTGAGTTGGGAAAGAAAAAGAAAGGAAGACATGGATTAAACAATGCCACATGCAAGATCCTACAACCACACTCAGGAACCTTTTGAGTAAACCAAAATTTGACCATCACTTTCCCAAAGTTGCATTTTGGCAATGATGTGAAAAGAATTCAACTGACAAAGCAAGTTCCACAAAAAAGGACCAAGTGAAATAACCCAATTACATGAAAATCCATATCAGTTAGTCATTCACTTGAACGATCAGCTACTTACAGGATTTTTAAGACAGTTGTGAGGATTTCCATAAGTTCGATTTAAGGCATCAGTAATGGCAGTCACAAAGCAAGAAGCACCAAAGCCACTAGTTTCTCGATCATGAGTACCATTCAAAAGAAGTACCTGGGATTAGAAGGCAAAAGAAAAGAACAAGAAGAAGATGAATTGTTGGGGAAGGAAAAGGAGAGATTAACAACATTGATATGAGAAAAACATCTACCAATGAGGAAAGCATTGACATAGAAAATAAAAGTTTGTCTCAGCAAGCACCAATACAGTTATCATTTGCATCGCCTAAATTACCTTGGGACACGTCCGCGAAGAAATGGTTTCTCCCACTCCAAGTAAAACCTTCAAATGGAGCAAAATCGCCAAGTAAATTGTTTGCTTTCTTCTTCTTCTTTTTTTCAAATTGGAGAAGAAGAATGCTTATTATAGTAGTGATGACAATGTCATGCTTGAGAAGATGAACTCCACTTGAGAAACAAATTAGTTTCCAATATTAGGTCTATCTTAGACCTACTTATTTTCTTGTTGTACAAGCAGAACTAGACTCGATAAAACCAGATACTTGCACATGCTTTAAGAATGAGAGATGAACAGTATGAATATAGTTACAATAAGAAATA